GAGAGAGAGAGAGAGAGAATAGAGCGAGAGAATGAGAGAGAGAGAGAGAGAGAGAGAGAATGAGAGAGAGAGAGAGAGAGAGAGAATGAGAGAGAGAGAGAATGAGAGAGAGAGAGAGAGAGAGAGAGAGAGAGAGAGAGAGAGATAGAGAGAATGAGAGAGAGAGAGAATAAGAGAGAGAGAGAATGAGAGAGAGAGAGAGAGAGAGAATGAGAGAGAGAGAGATGAGAGAGAGAGAGAGAGAGAGAGAATGAGAGAGAGAGAGAGAGAGAGAGAGAGAGAGAGAGAATGAGAGAGAGAGAGAGAGAGAAGAGAGAGAGAGAGAGAGAGAGAATGAGAGAGAGAGAGAGAGAATAAGAGCGAGAGAGAGAGAGAGAGAGAGAGAGAGAGAGAGAATAGAGAGAGAGAGAGAGAGAGAGAGAGAGAGAGAGAGAGAGAGAGAGAGAGAGAGAGAGAGAGAGAGAATGAGAGAAAATGAGAGAGAGAGAGAGAATAAGAGCGAGAGAGAGAGAGAGAGAATGAGAGAGAGAGAGAGAGAGAGAGAGAGAAAATGTGAGAGAGAGAGAGAATGAGAGAATGAGAGAGAGAGAGAGAGAGAGAGAGAGAGAGAGAGAGAGAGAGAGAGAGAGAGAGAGAGAGAGAGAGAGAGAGAGAGAGAGAGAGAGAGTAAAAAAGTAAAAAATTACTAAAAAGAGGGAGAGACAAATGATGGAGAATCAGGGACAGGATAGTATAAGAAAAAGACAAAAGAGAGAATGGGTTATGGGAGAGAAAAGGAGAAGGCAATGAGAGAGAAAGGCAGAGAGAGGGGGAGACATAAGATGGACAGAGAGGGGGAGAGGAGAGAGAGAGAGGGATGGACAAGAAAGACGAGGAATGTGTGTGCATTTGCGTGTTTTTTACATGTACCGCTGGAAGAATCAGCATATTTGCATACATGCAATAAAAAAAGATGTAATAAGCTTGCAAATAACTATATAATGTGACAAAATACATATACACAGACAACTGAAAACTTAACCATTAACAAATCAGCCCACAAATTCATTTTCACCCAAACATATTTCATAAGACTTTTCAAGAATAGTAGTGGCCAGTCCACAGTGTAAATTTTCACTTCAGGAACCCACTTAATGCCATGGATTCACAATGCCTTTGGGTCACAGTAATAATAATAATAATAATAATAATAATAATAATAATAAAAATATTGGAGATGTCCGTCTGTCTCTTTTACATACATGATCTGGTTTCTGAGTCCATTTCTCCTCCACCTCATTTTCTTCATCTCTTTCCTCCTGCTTTTCCTCCAGCACCTGTGGGCTCTCGTCTGTCTCGTCTGCCTCAACCGTTGCCAAACCCCAATCCTGCTCTCCGGCAGTAGCATTACCACTAAGCATGTGGATCCACTATTAAGCATGCAGGGTTAAAGTATTGTATGACACCACATCACAATGGAGGGTTGGGGATGGAGATACAAAAGGAGAAAGGGGGGGAAAAAGAAAAAGAGAATAAAGTGATAAGCATATACAGGTGGCAGGTACATTTGAACAAGGAATTATTCAGTTCAGCTTTTATCATATTCTGACTGGACTTCTAAGCAGCCACAGGTATATAACACTATTGCAGAGAAATAATGAACTAGAGTACTAGCTTCCTACCATGAACAAAATAAAGCTAATGAACTATATATAAGAAAACAATGAACAAATGAACAATATTTAGGCTCTACACTTTGCTCACATATAAGAAAACAAAAAATATAGGCTTTGTTAACATGCATATATGTGCAAAACAAAAGAAACCAAATAAGGGACAGACATATTGTGTTAAGTTTTGAATTATGTTCAGGTACCTTGGTATCATGAAGACTGTCGTGAGAATGATTAAAGTGTTATTATGTTTGAATTACCAAATCCACATCTTTTTGGATTTACATGTTTTATATTGTCTAGACTGACTATCTTATCTGCCTACATGTGGCACTAAAATAACAATGAACTGTAGGTGGATCACTGCAGAAGAGTACAGAGTATAAGAGAGCATAAGCTGGCATACAAGCCACTGTTGGCCCTTAGAGTACTGTAGTACGATAATCATACTCGCCAGGAGCTGCTAACCTGTTTGACCAAAAAAAAGTTTGTATCATTGTCGGAATGATGATGATGCATCCTGTGAACCTGAGAGACGAAGAGTAGCAACAGCAGAAGTTCTATGAGGTTTTTGGCCATCAACCGCCAGGATCATTGGCTCAATGTCTTAACCCATTCACGCCGGGCGTCACATATACGTGACGGGCTCGCTGTGAGTTTACTTGTTTAACCCATTGCCGCCGGGGAAAATGAACAAAAAATGGGGAAAATACTGTGTCTATTTTCTACACTTTTTTGTTAAATGTCTGCCCATAGATGGGTCTGCTAGCGCCTGATTTGAAAAACGTATTTTTCGCTAGTGCCATGAATATCGATGGTGTCATTTTTATAATAAACATTATAATTTTTATAATGTTTTTTAACATTAGTAACAGCAAAATAAGATAAAGTAAAATATTTCTTAAATCAAAGAAACGGGTAAACAGGCGAGACGGGCGGTGCTCGTAGTTGGCTCATTGGTGATTTAGTACAAGTGTAGCCATCTATGTGTAAAAACAATCCAACAAGTAATCTCACAGTGGGCATGGCATGGCATGCACGGCGGGAATGGGTTAGTTGTTTTCACACATAGATGGCTATTTACCCTTTTCTTTGATTTACGAAATTATTTTGCGTTATCTTATTTTGTTGTTACTAATGTTTAAAACATTATAGTAAATATAATGTTTATAATAAAAATAACCATCGATATTCATAACACTAGTAAAAATACATTTTCCCGCCAATTCAAGTTAGGGTGAAATCAGGTAAGGCAGAGCCATCTAGTGTAGAGAAATTTCATAAAAAATGAGCACAGCATTTTCCCCATTTTTTGTTCATTTTTACCCGGCGCGAATGGGTTAAGTGTAACTTACTTTTAGCCTTAGAATTCAAAGATAACTTTATTGCACCAGATTCCACCTTAAGACTAACTTAACTGATTCCCACAGCTTAGCCTGCTCTTTCATTACTAATTCAACAGCATAAAACAATATTAACATCATAACAGGATAAAAAGGAGATAAAATATAAAGAGATTTGATGTCTAAGGAACTCATTATACAAAAGCAATGAAGAATCGGCTGCTTGTAAATAACATCTGACCCGACTTCCCTCCTCGACACGCTCGTTACGCCTGATCTTGTGAGTGTTTCTCGTTTCAAATCGATCAGGAAGAGCCGTAACTAAACATGATGACAAGGTGAACAGCACAAGAATTAAATAGTCACAGAGGGCAATTACAATGTAACTGAAGGACTTCCAATAAACTGAATTAGTAAAGTCATAGCATCTTGCCTGATAACAGAGCATGAAAGGTCTTGTGAGTAAAGCTTTTAATAAAGTCTACAGTACCCTAATGCAGTGCTCTTCATTAGTCATTAATATAAGCAAAATTATGAACAATTAATTAGGACACCAAGTTGCGGCATCATCTTTAGCAGCAGAGAAAACAAGGGTACTATTCACGGCTCTATACTCAGCTCTTTTCCAGTGACTTGGAAAAAAAATTCCCTCTCTTGAATTGCTATGACAGTATCATTCACTTTGTATTTCCATTGCAAACATATGATTATCAGAAAACAGAATGAAAGTAGTTTGTGATCTATTGTACCTCAAGGCATATAGTGTGGTACACTAAAAATAAAAATATTCAAACCAATTACAGCTTTACACAAATATAAAAAGCTGATAAAACATTGTCAAAGCGAGAATCTAGCTTAGAACATTTCAAAGTAAATATGAAAATAACCTGCTCTTTAAAATTTAAGCACTATGTAACTAACTGATAAGAAAGCACAAGTTCAAACACTCCAAAAATTCAAACAGCACACTTCATGCAAAAAAAAAAAAAAAAAAAAAAAAAAAAAAAAAAAAAAAAAAAAAAAAAATATATATATATATATATATATATATATATATATATATATATATATATGAATATATATATATAAAAATAAAAATAAAAATGAAAAAAATCTCAATCAGGTTAACTGGAGATGAACAAATATGGCTTCGAGAATCAAAGATCGATAAATTTAAATGATCCAGCCATGTTATTTTTTCTCTGATCTCTCTCTTTTAATCAAAAAGATATAAAAAAAAAAGTGTGGTTGTTGCATCTCGACTCGTTTCACCTGATTCAAGTCACACATGGGTAGTGTTGCCATACTTACCGGAAGAGGAGTTATTTCGTTCTTGCGATTGAGTTCTGCCAGCACGTTGGAGACAAAGTCGTCCCACTGGGTGGCTTTATCCCCAGGCAGGCCCTGCAACAGTCACAACATTACAAATAACCTGAGCAACAACGGCAGACCCACCTCAGAAATGACACAAAATCTAAACAAAATATTCTTTAAAAATATGTGAAAAACACAGGAAGAAGAAAGAACAACAACAAGAAAAAAAAGAGAGGGGAAAAAAAAAAAATCTTTTAGTTACTCTAATAAGAAGAAAGGAAAAAGAAAGACAGGTCATTACTGTTAGTTTTTTCCTAACTGTTATTAATGAATCTTTTTACCTATTACTCTGGGCATACAAGCAATAACACTGATCCCTATACAAAAGGAATATACTATACTCTTTAAAAAATTTGTAGCACATCAATTGCAAATCTTACCTTTTGACACTACCCCTCCCCCCCCAAACAATGAACCTACAAAACCAAATGGCTACAAATTTATTCTTCATGACTGAATTCCAGCTATTCATTTTAACTTATTTTATCCAAGTGACATAGAGGAATGCTATATATACTGAATATTCATCCTTTTTGATATACACAACAATCAAAAGTGAAAGCAATTAGCTTTTTATTTCCAAAATAACAAGATATCTATCCCTCTTGATCACCTTAAAAACATAAACAATATACAAAAGTAAACAATCAAATACCTGTATAAGCTGCTTTATGCGGTGTTCATTTGGACCAAACTCTGCTTGCTGTACAATAGTGTTAGCCAGTTGTCGTAAATGACCCATGTGTATCTGTTTGCATCTGAAAGAGAAAAATAAAGTTTAGTTATTTGAACACTCTACAAGGTTTTAAACAAATCAGAATGTGAGAGAGAAAAGAAAAAGAAAGTTGAGAGGAAAGCAAACTTTTCATACCTCCTTCAAATTATAAACCAAAAATCTCTCTCTCTCTCTCTCTCTCTCCCTCTCTCTTTCTCTCCCCCCCCCCTTTTTTTTGCTAGCTCCTTCTATACTCAAAACACCCTTCTGCAAATTCACATTCACTTACTCTTGTCTTTCGCTGGACTCATCAAAAGCTTCTAACACGCGCTCAATGATGCGTCCGTCATTGAAGAGCTGGGTGAGCAACCGGTGGTCTGTGTCGCCTTCTGGAGAGGATGCTGCTGGGGCCTTTGTCAGAATGGCGGTCAGGCACTGCTCCACTTGGGTGTGTAAGAAGTGGTTCAACATAAATTTGAAAAACAAGTCCTGAAAGATGAAACATTTGTCAATATTACCATTGCTATAGACTGACGTTATATCACGAATCCATTCACTATCGTTTCAAGCCACGTTATCTTCTTTATAGGACTCCCTTTCTTTTTTCTTTTTCTTTTCTTTAAATCCACAGAGGATTCAGAAAAATACTATAAAAATTAAAACAATAATTATAAACCAAGATAGAGTTTAAAGTATTAAAGATGAGGATGATGAACTTTTTTTTTTCACATCTCCAGAGAGAAGGGAGTTCCTTACCAACAGATATTCAACTGTATTAAGTTCATAAAGCGAATCATGGACTACAGGGTCACTGAGGGCAACCAGAGCAGTGACCAGCGACACGACCTGAAGGTGGGTATTTCCCAGGGGCTCCACTTCCTGGCTATACGCAGTCAGTAACAACGCTTTCTGAAACGCCAATTGTCATTATGATAAGAAAAAATATGAAGAATTACAAAAATTATTATTAAAAATACTTGAGATTTCTTTTGTTTGGTCTGTGCTTTATTTTTTTTTTATTTTCTTTTTTGTAAAGAAAGAAAAGGGAGGGGGGAGTGTTACTCATTTTCTATTATGCTTAAAAACAATACTATTATTTCAATTTCAATGCAAGACTGAACATTCCATTTGATGAAACTAAACACCATTACTGCCATCATCCTTGATTTCATAATGAAAGGAAATTTTCAGTAACAAAAAGAGATTTATATCTTGCAATACCTCCAAAAAAATTATCTGTACTGTTATACAAGTCTCAGTCAATAACAATTCTGGTTCTTTTTCTTTTTTGAGCACATTAGTTACATTCTCAGATTGATGCCCTGGAGAATACATATAAAAAATACCATGAAGCTTAACATCAAACGTACCATCAAAGTATCAAAAATCACAATATACAAGATATACAAAGCCAATAATAGCCCCCAAAAAGCACACACCAAAGGGTGGTGAAATTCACTGTTGAAAAGTCTCTTCCAGGTGCACACACACACACGCACACATGCATGCACGCACGAGCACACACACAAAAAACAAATAAAGACCTTTGGTGGGTGTAGTAGAATGTTTTGAAGACTTGGTAGACGTTTGGCAATAATTCTTGCAACAGCATGTTTCCTCCCGTCACTTGATTCACTATCACTTGAATCAACGGCTGCATACTGTTGCAACCTGAAAAAATCACGAGAAGTTTGAGCACAAAGTGAAACTGAGAGGATTCATTAAACAGTTCACATACTAATCACCTATTTCACAATAAATGCAAACAATCAGCTGATAATAACAAAGTACTCAAGGAAAAGAAGAAAAAGAAAAAACTAAAGAAAGAAAAAAGGAAAGTATCTACAATTTCACAGCAATTTCTCGACAGTTACTAGCTAAAGACTAAACTTCTCCTTTTGCCCCGCTTTTACTGCCTTTATCCATCCTTCTGCCTGAGTTTCAGCACAAGTAAAGCAATAACACCTTTTAAAATTATACTTAAGGAAAGCACTACGAAGATCCACCGAATGGCACTTCAACTTTAGAAATAAAATAAGTAGATCAAAATTTACTTCTAAAACAATAGAAACATTTCTTCCATAAACTGGATGCAATACAAGTGTTGCAAAATTAGCACGAACAAAAATAATTACCCTTGTTGCTGTTGCTGTAGATGCTGAATCTGCTGCTGCTGTGTTCGAGCAGACAGGAGAGTAAGCAGGATGTTGATCACGTGAGAAAGTGAAGAGTCGTTCCGGTCTTCGTGGAGGAGTAAATCTAGCAATTTATTTACTGTGTCTTCACTGGAAACACATAAAAAAAGAAAAAGGCTTTAGATGATGATAATGCCATAAATCACATTTCTCTTCTGAAGAAAAATGATACTGTAGGACAATTCTCCAGTGCACAGATCTTAATATATATATATATATATATATATATATATATATATATATATATATATATATATATATATATATATATATATATATATATATATATATATATATATATATATATATATATATACATATATATATATCTTAGAGAGTCAATATGGTTGACACAAAAAGAAGGCCCATGTAGGCCAATAATCAAAGTGCATGAAGGCCACTAAAATACACTCACAGAATGAGGGTGTGAGGGGTGAAGAACAGTGTAAACAAGTCCATAAAATATGAGGAGACAAACCTGTCCCAACCAGACTACAAAGCAAGTGTTTCAGTAAGTCAATAATGTTTAGAGACACATGACTCTACAAAACCACTTCAGTGCCTCTTATCTTCTGTCCCACCACACATTCTGAACTCTAACCTCTAATCAGGACTGATGCCAAACATTTTTTGGGTTGAGACGGCTCCAACATATTTGGAACTAAATCAACATCTCCCTTATCCTTTGCAATAAAAATCTTAGTCTTGAATGTCAAGTAAACTTTTTTTTTCCCTTAATAAAAAAAAGAAGAAGAATTTGTTAAAATGGAAGGCTGATGTATGCAGTATTCAATAATATAATATAAAAAATGAAAATCAAAGAAATTTAAAACTAAAGATGAAATGAAAGACATGGCTTTGCATTGTCTAATTTAAACAATGTCCAGTTAATACTTTGTAAGAAAATACTAACAGCACCTTCAAATACTTTGAGGCCAGAGTTTGTTTCAATATTAAAAAAAAAATATTTGGCATAAAAGAGGCATAATAAACTGAAAATGTCTCTTGGAAGAGACTGAAGTTAATCATAATGCCATTGTTATTTAGTCTCATAAAAGTAGAAGTAGCTCGATATTGGCACACAACACTGTTGACTACTTTGCTAGGTCTAACTAAACGTGAAACTTACCAGCCAGTAAATAAATAAACCCCATTTCGAAAATATGAACAAACCACTTAAAACACGTCCATGACATGAAAATGCCAACTCACTCACCTTTCCAAAGTCGCCCGAAGAGGGTTAGTCTGCTGGTGTCCATCGGTGGACGTGTCCCTGCAGGAGGTGCTAATTTCGCAGAGGAGATTGTCGGCACTGGCGTGGTCCTCTGGGTCAGCATCTGGTGATAACTTGTCTACTAGCCGCTCTACTAGTTGGCCCTCATTCAACCACTGGATGATCAAACTCAAGTCAGACTTTTTCTTCTATCTTTTGCAGAATTTACATGAATGCAGCCATCACAAGATTTTTAAAAATTTTCTTTGGAAAGGGAGTGATGTTCTATATATGTACACATTCATGAAAATAGGCAGAGAGAGAGAGAGAGAGAAGGGTAATAAATGATGACTATGATGATGATAAGTAGAAAAAAAAGAAAAAAATTATTGATATATTAAAAAATCCCAACAATTACTGCAAAATTACATAATATCTCTGCAATTCCCATATATTCAGCTTTTTCTCTTTCTAATCACTCAAGTATTCTTATGATTTAGCTTTTACAGACAACTACAATCTCCTTTTGATACTATACTATTAACCAAAATGTTGATGGGTTTTACCAACACCAAACCAAACACAGCTAGCTGCTAAGTTTTCCCTATCGTTTGTGATTTTTCAATAAAAATAAAAGACCAAAAAGGCAAATGACTGTAAAATACACACAACACTGAGCCCACTTGACCACCATGGCATGGATACATGCCTTCTGGGTATATTGGCTTCTTGCTCCATGGCAAGAACAGGTGCCTACTGGTGCCAACAAGTTAAACTACCTACAGCAGGATCACTCGTCTTCGTACTGCAAGCCATGGGTTGGGCACCAGGGCATCACGCAAATTTGTAAAGCTCTCTATGCTCATGGCTGTGGCATAAACAACTGTTTAGGTAATGAGGCTAAAGAAACTTCAAATGTACTTTTGAGGAACAGTTTCTCCTCAATGACTGCAGCCAGCGAACAACTGCTTAGTACCATAACTTACAGCAGGCTTGACTGGGCACACCATGAGGGGACACCAACACAGTGCAACTGATGGTTTAATCATGTGATAGGACTTCATCCATTGTCAGTGGGCTAAAGAAATCCTTCCTTTTTCTTACCTTCATAAATTTTCAATTGCAAACATACATACTTTCAATACAAAGAAGGGATTTGCCAAAAGATGATCTATATTTTTCATTCAACAGAGACAAGGTCATTATTTATTCAGTCTCCCAATGTAAGATTTATCTTAGACCCATAGTAATCAAGTGAAGACCACTGACCCAGTCATGATGTGGCTTGTGGTAACAACCAGGTACAGTCTCATTATGAACACCTTTGTCATGCAATACTTCTCAAGAAGACCTATTCATATTTCAAACAAATAACTTTTCATTATGTAAATTACTAGCAATCTCTGACTTTTGCAGAGTTTTCTATTATTAACCATCAGTGAATTAATGCAGAGTTCCTGAGCCTCAGCCGTGTTAGAATATATTCTGTCATTTATTAAATGGTTAACACTTATATGCATTTTCTCTAATTATTTTGGTTAACATCTAGGACTTGCATCCACTAAAAACTTAACTGCTTCACTACTGTAAATTAAGTGGGTTCTAAAAAGTAGGTTTCCCTTAACCCAATGGCACCAGGTATTATAAAGGAAAAAATAACTCTACGGGTTAGCAAACAAAGGCGACACGCCGACTTTGAGCGCGTGAGTAGGGGACATCAGCCCGAATCACTGGCTCGCCGCGCTTTGGCGGGCCACCGGCTCGTTTGGCTGCATGCCAGCTTTCGAGCGCTTTGTTTACACGCCGATACTCGTCACCCGGCACCAAGGGGTTAATGCATTGGTCAAGGGTGATCTGACAAGTAGAAAATTCTTAAGATTTTAATGATTTTCTTTACACACATTTAACCATGAAAAAAAAATGTCTGAGAGGAAACAGTGGTCTAGCAATTGATCCTAGGTACCAAGAGTACAATGGTGGCCATAGGCTTGTTTTTCAAAAACTTTGGTGTTTTCTTCCTCAGAGCGTTGGGGATTTGCAGTCCTGAACTCCTTGACATTGAAGTTGCTCTTGTAATGGATTCATATATGAAACAAATACCCTGGAGGCTGCCTTCTGAACCTCAGAAAGAAAGCAGAAAATATACTGACTAGACCAAGACCAGACCTTGCACCCACTTCTAAATTCCTTGTCTTATTGCCATGTAATATTTCCAACGTAATTGGTAAATATTTTGGCAATACTGTAAAAATTCCCAGCACATCCAGTGAAAAGATTTTTGATAGAAAGTTGCCAGCAAACAACCTGACAGTGCTGTATGCCGCACACACTGCAGCAAAGGTGATAGAAAGTATTCAGGTGAAACAGGATGAGGTTTCAGCAAACATTGTGCTAATATCTGGCACCACAGAATATATGCTGGACTAGAAGCAAGAAGATGTGATCCATGGAGGACTGAATAAACAAAAAAGGAAAGTAATGGAAGCTGCATAAGTAGCAACTGAGTAGAATGTAAATATTGCATAGGGCAGTTCCAAATAATTTAAGATCGTGCCAACAATTATGCAGGTAATGAGTGATAGGCTGAGGATGTAAGGCCATTCTTCAGCTCATGTCTAATAAACATATCCTAATACATCTAACTGTTGTATGCATTTTTCAAAAGACAACTGAAACTGGTCAAATACACCTCTTACACTCTGAAGATATTAATCCTCATTCATACCTTTTTTACATTTGTTGCAATGAGCACTTTTTCATCATTGTAAGTGTACCAGGAAAAGTCTGAAATTATGACAAAGCTTAAGCCATCAATAAAGATGTTGCAACATAAGAACAGAAAAAAAAAACTGATAAATTAAGAAATGCTGTTTGATGTCAAATGGTGTGGTAACTTTCAAAAACGTATCAATCAAAAGGTGAAATTTCATGTTAATCTGAACATTTAGAAGCAGAAGAAGAAGAAGGAGGAGGATTAGGTGCAGATTCACGGTAGACCAAGAGTGAACAGCTAGTCCTCCATTTCAAAAGTAGAACACATACATGGCATATACATTGCATGAAACATGGTTAAGTGACTTAAAGCCCACTTTTAAGTAGCTGAGCCTTGGCCAAACAGTTTACTAAACAAAACTCAGAGCAGACTAAAAGTATGGGGCATGCAAGTACCTCCTGTTAGCAATGAGTTAAATTTTGAGAAGTGGAATTTTTTCTTTATAAAAATAATGAAACATTTTGCAATCTCTTAAAAAAAGTTTTACTGCAAGAAACTGGACATCTAGCTCTTGTTTATTGAAAACACACGTCTGTTTTAATTTTGTAAGGAATTTGCAATAACTTCTGCAGTATACCATAGCAGATTTTTCCATGACAAAAACTATAATGAATTTTTGAAAGCATCTGATCAAAGATCAAATGCTAGGATAAAATGATATACCTCAAGCTAATAGCATGGAAACATAAATGCAAATGTGGGCGTGGATAAGCACACACACACAAAATCTCACTACAAATATACATAGGGTACAGTCATCACAAAAAATAATTTTCAGATCAGATAATCCATTTTGTATTATAAAGATGACACAATGTCACTTGTACTAGAGCTAGGATCCAATCACTATGCATGTTTCTTAACTTCCGTTGTATTAAGATTTCCAGTGTGAAAAACAGTTTAACAACCTACTCTTTTCCAAGTGATTTTAAGATTTTTAAGGCAAACTCAATCAAACTCACAGCCAGAAACTGCTTCAACTTTTATACCAGGAGAAATCAATTAGAAATGCCTAGGGTATTTTATTTGAAGGAGAATAGGTTAAAAAGGTTTCAGATCAAGCACTTTGACATTTTCTAGTGATGATGATAATGATAAGGAATGAGAATAAAAAGAAAAAACAGAAGGTGCAAGAACAAAAAAGCAACTAAAAAAGAAACAATAATTCCATACTATACAGAATATTCTTCAAAATCCATCACATTCAGTTCTAGCATCTGGATAATGTGGAAAACACCTTTTACATGGTGTTGCACATCACAATTTTAACCCAATGCCAACGGGCATGACATGTACGTATGAGCTATGCCCACTGTGAGTAATTGTTTTATTGTTTTTACACACAGATGGCTACACTTACTTACTTAGTAATGCCTGTCTCCCTGTTTACCCTTTTCTTTGATTTATGAAAATATTTTACGTTATCTTATTTTGCTGTTACTAATGTTTATAACATTATAGTAATTATAATGTTTATAATAAAAATAACACCATCAATATGCATAGCACCACTAAAAAATACATTTTTCCCGCCAATCAAGTCACGTAAGGTCACAAAGTCTACTAATTGACTCCTTTGTGATTAAGTAATAGCAGAGCCATTTATGTGCAGATACATTTCACTAAAATATAGAAAATGAGCACAGCATTTTCCCCTGGCGGCATTGGGTTAACTCAACTTCTGCAATGGAAAGAAAGAAAGAAAGAATGAAAGAAAGAACAAGAACAAATATTGGGCTTACCTGATGTACTCTCTGCCGGATTTTGTCCTCCTCAATGTTACAGATAAGTTTGAGCAGCAAATCCATAATAGCTGAGGTCCCTACATGTTGTACAGCCAGTTCAACAAAATCACCTTTGGATTTTAAAAAGTCCAATACCTGGAAGCAAGTGAATTGATAGGAATACCAGTTCTAAAGAGAAGAGAAGAGAAAATACACTTTATAAGAATGTGTTGAGATGGAGCTTTGAGACATTTTACAAGTCAGGCACTCCTCTTTCACTTCCTTAAATTTTGAGGATAAAACAAATGAACAATCATCATCCATCCTTACATATTAAATAGTATCATAATTCCAGAAATCGAACAAACACATTATATACACACTAATTAATATTCAGACGACCTTAATGTGCCAATTCGTCGTTATCCTACAGAACACGCATGAGTATATATCTTGGACACCAAAAAATTTAAACTAAAGGTCCTAAATGAGAAGAAGAGAAAAAAGAAATTTTCCAAGGGCATTAGACAGAAAAGCAAAAAGAATGAAAAATTACATACATAGGTACATAATTCATCATTCCTATATAAATTTCTTTGCTATATAACTGCATATCAGAGGTATAAGAGATGTGAAAAATAAAAATAAACTAGTTAAAAAGAGAATCCAAGACAATACAAGCTCTTGTAGAGTTCTGAATGCAGGTGTTGTCAACATTGTGTGTGCATCAAAAGCAAAAAATCAGAGACAAGTAAGTACATCCATGTGTGATTTTATAAAAGCAGGAAAAGAAGGCATAGGAAACATTGATGGCAGAGCTACCTAGTAGTAAAGGCGCACATCCAGGCTTACATTATACTTCTGGGTATAGAGAGATGATTACAAAGGCTGTACACTGCCAAAGTAACAGTACTGTGGGTAAAACTTCACAGATGCATACCAACTACAGTATGGGTTGGCACACACAACTGCAGTCTGCAAGAGTAAAATACTTCTTGCATTCTTGTTATTGTCTGTGAATAACGAGAAAATCCATATGATACAACAAGCAGAATGATGCCACTTCATGATATGGATTCTTCCCTTCGAAGGGAGGCTTGTTGATTACTTCAAGTTTTTCAATAAACTTTGAAGTTATAATCTAGAGAGGGCTTTTGGAATATTTTGGAAAATGAAGACTTTGCCATGGGAAATTATACTAAAATATCTTATCAAATATAGCTTAGCAATCTAAATTTCACTTATTCAGTAAAAAAAAAAATCTGACTTTTTAACAAAAGTCATAATAAGACCAGTTACTGTAATATTTACATGCATAAATCTACCATGCATTACAGTCCTCCATTCTTCATATCTAGGCAGTATATTGCTGAAGTACCTGGCAATGCCAATATAAGCAGAGAAAATTAAAGCTGCAAAGAATGCATATTTGCTTGATAAAACTACAGTTTGCAAATTGCATAGTATTAACACTGAGTGAATTAAGTAACAAAGACTCATATACATATATAAAATTCATATACTGTTCTTAATAACACAGATATCACTCAGTACAGAAAGCGCCATTTGATTACATAAAACAAGGTAGCAAAGCAATCATTGGCAACTAGCACATCCTAAGGCAAAAATTGAACATCCCTCCCAAAGGCATCTTGTTATGTCAGTCTTAAGGCTACAGGTGGCTTAAAGGTGTCACTCAAAACATATCCACATGCATGAATGAGGAAAACACTCTACCGTGTTGATACTATGGTAGAAAAACCCACAATGTAAAAACTACATTTATTGAAAATGAAAGTGAGACTACAGTTTCGGAATCCACCTGGATTCCATCCTCAGGTGTGAAGAGGAAAGGGAGAGGAAGGGGTATATCCACATGCATGCTCCTGGTGAAAGAGTGATGAGAAGAAGGCCCATCCTGCTCTGTCCGAGTGGGAAGGCGATAGCTTGACCTGCACTAGCAGCAGGTCAGCTAACACACAGTACTCCAAGTCAATCCCTAACGCAAACCACAAAGTTATTCCTAAGTGAAGGTGCGAGAGCTGAATTTTTTCTTCTCTCGATCAAGACCTTTCTGTAAGCTTAACAGATCTGTCATCAGAATCTGGTACGGATGGTAGTAAGAGGCAAATCTTAACTTATGTTTTTGTCATTGTTTTTCTGCTTTTGTTTTTTATATAGTTATATTCTTTATAACAGCCTATGTGAATTTGATGAAAGCTTACATGCCAACCAAAACTGAATTTAAAGAAAAGTCTTGGGAGTGTCTGCAGAATCTAAATTATTTGTCACAAGATGCTATACTCTTTACCAAAATTTACTGGTGGGCCTATGTCCAACTATTATAACAAGTTTCTAGGATAGGGAATGACTATTTACTATGAGTATTTTTGGAAAATGGAAGCAGGAAATGTCCACCTACTTCCAAAGAACCAAATGTAAGAAATTGATTGCAAAGAAAAAGGCATAAAAAATGGAAACAACAACCAACCAATGGATAGACAACAAATTTTTGTATAAATGATATTGAACTTTATATAGGAATTGTTTACAAATGAATGTTGACGAATGAATTTTTTTTTTTTAGATAATTAACCCGTTGGATCATCATGTCACGGAAAAAATCAGGTCGAGGGGTGGGTGACGTGAACATGCCGTCATGGGAAAATCTGTCTTTGTCTTTGCGGAGGTGAGGGCTCTTCGGCATTCCGGCAACTGTGGTCTGGGGACTACGAACGAGGGCGTGGACGTGAAGGCAGAGGGATCGAGGGAGGAAGAAAGACAAGACACAAGAGAGAGAAAAGGAAAGGGAGAGGAATAGAGGGGGGGAAGAGGAGGTGTAAAAAGAGAAAGAGGGTGAGAGAGAGAGAGAGAGAGAGAGAGAGAGAGAGAGAGAGAGAGAGAGAGAGAGAGAGAGAGAATTAGAAAAAGAGAAGAAGGTTAATGCTATTAAGGAGGAGAATCCGTCTGTTTTGTTCTTAGTTTTCAGTGTAATTTATTCTGTTAATATACAACAACAAGCAACTCATAATAACAAAGAAATAACACTAACAGTAAAAACGATAAAAATGAAAAAAATATATATATACATTGCTATAAAATCAATAAGAATGATAACTAAAAATAACAACAATAATAATGTTACCATTACTTTAATAAAGAAAAATAAAAGCCTATATTTACAATGGTAATGATAATAAAACAATCCTAATGAATGGGGGGGGGGGGGAAGGGATGAAAATAATGGCAAAACACAAGAACAAAAATGACTCTAACAGTAACAAACATCTAAAACATAATCTGAACAAAGAGTTGCACTGATTTGCATATGTCCTTGTAACCAGAATCTATTTTTTTTTTCTGCATAGTCCCCAGATCCACAGGAACAGGTGTAGTATGTCTCTGTAGGAACGAACTCACCTGTTCGGAGCGACGCTGAACCAGCATGCCTAGGACCTTGGAGAAGAAGGATGCCAGCAATGGATTAAGTGGCTTCTCTTTCTCTAGAAATCTGTAAGACAAGGACCATGACAGGCGTTTATGTCTTTCTCGAATCACTGTTGTTTCTGCTTCTATAATGGCTTTTGTTTTGCTTTGTAAAGTAACATTGTTTACGGAGACAAATACTGGAAAGGTATGAATGAGAACAATTTTACAACTGTGAGATCAAAATGTTTATTACTTATATTATGTAATGATTCATTCACATTCATTCCTTTTTGTAAAATACACAAACAAGTCTTATTCCTAACAGCTTCTCTACCAAATGACATAAAATGAAGCCCATCTTAGAAAAGTCAATCAAGCAGTAAATGAACAATATGTACAAGAGTACACATTTTATCCTATTTTCCTCTTTATGGTTAAAAATCTTAAAAACAAATATGACAAAAATCAAAATATCCAATGAAATGCTAAACTTCAAAAAGAAACAGTTTGGCTTCTACCTCTAAAGTCATTGAATTCAATGCATTTTTTGGACTTAGCCTTGGCAACCTAGCAACCGTCTTTAAAAAGCTCCGAGAAGGCAATGGTGAGAAGGGAAATGTTCCTAAAAAGTAAAGAGTGAAATAAGAAAGTGTCTGAGGGTTTGGCGTGTCTGCTTGGCTCTGAATGATATTAGGATGAGGAAATCCACATATCTTACATTAATTATATGAAGCAAGATTACAAAAAAAAGTAAAAAGAGAATTCTCCGGCAAATTTTCTGATGGTGCATTTAAATGTAGGACTTTCAGAATGCAGCTGTCTGGTCGTGTGCTTGGATGCAATTTTTTTTCCATAATTTACATAAGTATGAGCATCTGTTTCCATGTGCTGGTTGTGTACTGCCTCAACAAAAAAGAAGAGAAAGAAATGAAAGTGAAAAACAAAATGCATTCATATGATATCACAAACTATACATGAATACAGATCTACACAAAAACACTAAACTTACTTGTACAATATATCTAAGAGGCTGGTTGAAGCCACCAACTTATCAATAATAGCTGGCACATCTGCTGTGAGAAGCTCTGCAGCAAGGTTAGCATACTTAAACCGCATTTGCATCTCACCCTCTGCCGAAGGTTCATTTACTACCAAGTACACCATTTCTTCAAGGACTTCGGCTTGAGTCAAACTGCAAAAGATTTTCAAATCATACCATGAGAACTTGGGATTTTGTTTTCTAAATCTGTATTAGCACCCGATTTTAAATGGACATAGACAGTTAGTTCCTCTTCTCCTATATAATAATAATTTTTTTTTTTTTACAAGGAACGTATGACCAAAAGGAATATTTTCTGAAATTACTTAATCCACATTCATGTTCATCGCTCGTATCTTTCTAATGATTTTGTTACACCTTATATAAACATGGAAGCGATGTGGTCTTGGATTCTATCTCAGTTTGCCACACAAGAGCTGGG